CATCCTAACTGCCCCCCAGGACCCTACCTGTCCCCTGACTGCCCCGACCCTTATCCACACCCCCACCCCATATTCACACCCCCGCCCCCAGACAGACCCCCCGGGACTCCCATGCCCTATCCAACTGCTCCCCGCCCAGTGACAGGACCCCCAGAACTCCCGACCCATCCAACCCCCTCTGCTCCCTGCCTGCCTCGACCCCCTCCACACCCTTGCCCCCCTGACAGCTCCCCCAGAACCCCCGACCCGTCTGACCCCCGCCTGCTCCCTGTCCCTGACTGTCCCAACCCCTCTCCACACCCCTGCCCCCTGACAGCCCCCCCCGAACCCCCCCCCCCCCCCCCCCCCCCCCCCCCCCCCCCCGGTCCCCTGACCAGGGTCGACTTTAACAAAAGCCCAGGAATCGGGCTGTGCTCCGGCCGGAGTCGCGGGGCTAGGGGCCGGGCCGGAGGTGCTCGGCTGGGGCCGGGCCGGCCGCCCTAGGGCCCGAGCCGGACTGGAGCCACTGGGGCCGGCGAGCTCGGCCAGAACTGGAGCCGCTGGGGGCCGGGGGTGCTCGGCCGGCGCTGCTCGGCCGGAACTGGGGCCGGTGCCCTGGGGCCCGAGCTGGGCCGGAGCCACTGGGGCTGGCCGGGGCCGGACTGGGCCGCGCCGCGCCTCCCCGGAGCCCTCCTCCTCGCGTTCCCCCCGCCCCAGCTTACCTGCTGCTGCCCGCCTGCCCCTGCTTCTTTTCAGACTTCCCGCGAAGATTTGATTCGGGGGAAGCAGGGGAGGGGGAGGAGCAGGGGGGCGGAGCGTTCAGGGGAGGGGAGGAGGAGGAAGACAGCTGCGGGGCCGGGGGCATGCTAAGGCTGCAGGGGATGGGGGGAGCCGGGAAGGGGCTTTGGCTGCCGAGCGGCGCCGCTTTTCGATCTATAAATAGCTGACCAGGGGGAAATCCCGGACATTTTTAGAAATCCCCCCCGGACGGCTATTTATAGATCGAAAAGCCGGACATGTCCGGGGAAATCCGGACATATGGTAGCCCTACCAGTGACCTAGTAGTACCAGTTGGGTTCTGCTTGAACTACCCATGTTGCTTCATCACACCATACAAAACAAAACAACCCTTCTGCTGTATGTAGTTCTTAGTGCTGCTAGTATGCTGTCCCCAAGGATTCTAAACCTGTACATAAGCAGGTAGCTGTTCTTGGGGCCTGGCTGATTACTTGTGTCCCCTTGTTGAACCAAGAGAGAGAACTGCTGCATTTGTTAACAACTGCATTAGAAGAAAGAGAAGAACTGGGTGATACTCTGTGTCTCACCTTCTGTTCCTTGCTGTTCTCCATTTAGATATTTCTTTAGAGAGAGATCCAGGGAGAGAGAGAAGTGAGAGAACTAGGAGACTAATTTGAGGAACTTTGAACAGTCGGGTATATTGAATGCTGTGGGTTGATCTTTCTTGTCTGGTATCATGCTGCTTTCATGTCTTAATGTACTCTGTAACTGCTGTGAATATGTCTGAGAGTGGAACTGTAAGTTCACGATCCCCATAGTTATACTTCGCACTTCTGTAAAGTATTTTGGGATCTCAGAGTTTTACAAATATTAAGTTAAGCTCACAATACATGAGGGAGGGAGGAAAATACAGTTTCCCCTATTTACAAATGGGGAAACTGAGGTCCAAAGATCTTATGGAACTTACTCAAAGCCACACAGTAATTAAATGGCAGAGCAGAGAAGAGAACACACATCTCTTGGCTCCTTGTTCTGTGCTTTCTTCACTAAGTGTTTGTTCCTAAATTTTAAAATGTAGGACATTTTTCACTGGTAAGATTTCTCCCCGCCCACGGTTTTCTTGGATTCTCCATGTGCCTAATGCTCCGCTGTCAATGGAACTGAAGTCAATGGAGTTGCACTCATTTTATTTTTAACTTTTCTGGTTTTGTTGTGACGTGAAGTGGATTTCAAAGCATTTGCCTCTTGTCTCTTTCCCTCTACCTTTCTCACAAGAGCAGGATTAAGAAAATAGCAGTAGAGAAGACAGTATATTGGATGGATGGGGTTTATAGCTCCTTGTTTATTATACATTGTCCCTCTTGCATTGTAGAGTGGACCCACTTCACGCTCATTGAAGCTGTGTTGGATGGATAATTACTGAAGCCACAATTCTTCTAAACATATACAGTATATCTTTCCTTCTTCACCCCATGACTTTTGTATAATCTTTTTTTCCTGCTGGACTGCAGCATTGAAGGAGCTTCTTTTCACTCGTCCTTCTCTTGTACCAAGACTTGCATTACATTATTAGAGGACTTCCCATGTTGTTCTCTTGCTCTTTGAGCAAGTCCTGATAGGCCTTAAGAGAAGCATTAAGGACCCTAAGTATACTTTTATTTATTTATTTATTTATTTATTTATATATATAATTACCTTAGCACCTAGGAGCCCCCAGTCATGGACCAGGATCCCATTCTGCTAGGTGCTGTACAAACGCACAACAAAACGACAGTCCCCCTTCCAAAGAGATTAACATTAAATGATTACATCTTTGTGGTAGTAAGAAATTTTGAAACAAAACATCATTTCATACTGAAAAATCCAAATGTTTCATTTTATTTGATGTGAAATGTTTTATTAGTTTTTTCGGATTTTATTAGTTTTCTTTCCCCAACTGAAACAATTAGATGAAATTGACACAAATTTGCATTTCCCCGCGAAATAAATTGAATGTGAAAAATTTTCACCAGCTCTGTTCTTGGGAGTAAAATAAGACCTGTTGAACCTGTCTAAAACTGGACAGCTTGCATGAAGAGTACATGTGCACAGTGAGTGTGAGTGAGCTGCTGACCTAGTAAATGCTGATCAGAGGAGATAGTGTAAGAGGAGAGACTGGATATGTAGTTGAGACGAAGGCCTTTTCTACAACTCCAGTAGCTAAACTTCCAAATTTAGAAAACATCTGAGGGATTCCTGGAGTTTGTAAGTGTACCTGGATTTGAGGCTTAATGTCTTCGTGTTCATTTTACATGCATATTAATCTTTCTGTTTTATACAAGTCAATTCACGTTGAAGATCCAGGGAAGACACACTTTTATAGCAATCACACAAAAAGATCATAAGTAAATATGCAAAAAAAGAGAGAGATTCACATGGTTTTATCAGTAGTATCCAGTGCTGCACTGATTTCTTATTCTCTTAGGCCACTACCGGCTAAATCGGCTCCGCTGCGATTGATTCAGTGGTGTCAATTTAGCAGGGTTGGTGAAGACACGCTAAGTTGATGGGAGAGCGCGCTCCCATTGACATCTGTACTCCACCTCCCTGAGCGCTCTCCCTTCAACATAGCGCAGTGTAGGCACCGCTGTAAGTTGACCTAAGTTACGTCGACTTCAGTAACTTACGTAACTGAACTAGTGTAACTTAGATCAACTTACAGCGTTAGTGTAGACCAGCCCTTAGAAATGTCAAAAGCATTTATCCTTGAGTCACCCAATATTGATTATAAAATACCATGGCAACTGACGTACTTCAGTCTGTCAAATCAGTCAACAGTTACCACTTCGTAAGTGCTGATATTCATATAATGAGGATCTTTATCTTTAGAAAAAAGTCTCTTTTTTTATTTGCAGCCTCTAACTTTTGCACAGTCCTGAACGTATTCTATACAGAATGTATTTATTAGGATACAGCCCAGAAATCATCAATGTCACACAATACTTTTTATTAGTGTAAGTGAAGAAAAATAAACTGACATTTTTATGAAAGAACTGAGGTAGGTCAACTGCATTAAAATATATTTATTTAAAAGAAATTCAGATAGTCATCTGCTGTTTATTCTATACCTCAGACAAGGGAAACTTTCTCCTAAAGCCTGGGATGGGAAAATTTAAAAGCTAAGCCTTCTAGTGAAGGTAAAATTGCCTTTCAAATTTTGTCTGTATGGGACTACCCCCTGGCTTATTTTTTTTTTTAATAAAGACCAGCATTCCAAACTGGAAAAAAGAGAATCAGCAATGATATGATTTTTCTCATTCATTTGTCCTAAGGAGCATTTCTAGTACTGTCAATGAGTATTTTTGTAGAGTAAACATCATGCTGACTGCATGGAATGGAAGTCTAGGGGCATTTGGACAATAATTATGAAGATACACCTGATTTGTGTGTGTGCATTTGAGGAGATTTAGTATTCCAGGTTATAAGTAAACAAATTACTCTTGAAGTGAAGAAATGGTTTGACATTTTTTTCATATGGCATATGGTATGGTTCCTGCATTGCAAGGCATCTGAACAAGACATTTCCTTATTTATGACAGAGGGAGCTGTATTTTAATTGGTTTCTATCACTCTACCTCCATCATCCCCACATGCAAAATGCTGTTACTATTCTTTGTTTTGGAAAGTGGTTCTTTAACCAAAAGAGGGTGGGTAGGATGTTTCAGCAGTTAAATGACAGAAAGTTTTCTCTTTCCCTCTCAGTTCCGCAACAAAGTCCAAATATAGCTGTTGGTTTAGCAAGCAATATTCCAAAACTGAATCTTCCCATTTACCTGGCTGCATTTAAATCAACACCCTAAATTTAGATTAGTGCGCAAGTATGCTATTAAAAAATATATATCTACAGAAGATGACCCTACTGATGCACTGATATTTTAAAAAAAGAGAGAGAGAGCAAGCAGCAGCAGCAGTAGTAGTATTCTTACTTGAATATCCCATTGTATCAATTTACATCAAAAGACAAAAGTATTTGGAAGGAATAATATGCTCTGTGGTCCTCTAAAAAATTCTGAATATTGGTCTCTTTTGTAAATTGATCCTAGGCACATTTATTAGGGATTGCAAACATTCAAAAAGTTTTTAATAGTGCTCATTTATAACAGTGCAGTACTGCTTCATCTTCAGTGCTGTCCCATGGCATGTGTTCAGGGGCACAGTGTAGCTGGGTTGTTTGTTCAGGAAGCCTCATTTTATTTAAATTTTCATCTAAACGTTTCACTCTGTTCTTTCATCTCCATCTCCAGGGGAGAGAAATAGGAGGAGAAGATGTCAGGTGGCTTTCAGTTACATGCCTCAGAATGAAGATGAGCTGGAGTTAAAAGTTGGTGACATCATTGAAGTGATGGGAGAAGTAAGTAACTCTTATGTACTGTGTAGACACACAGTCTTCATTTGCTTTGTACATGCTGACCTTTCAGAGGGTAATATGTTTTTAAACGATTCAAAAGAGAGTTTTTTACTGTTCTTTTGTTTATGTTATATCAGTTTAGATTTTCCCCCCCATTATTCATAGATTCATAGATTCTAGGACTGGAAGGGACCTTGAGAGGTCATCGAGTCCAGTCCCCTGCCCGCATGGCAGGACCAAATACTGTCTAGACCATCCCTGATAGACATTTATCTAACCTACTCTTAAATATCTCCAGAGATGGAGATTCCACAACCTCCCTAGGCAATTTATTCCAGTGTTTAACCACCCTGACAGTTAGGAACTTTTTCCTAATGTCCAACCTAGACCTCCCTTGCTGCAGTTTAAGCCCATTGCTTCTTGTTCTATCCTTAGAGGCTAAGGTGAACAAGTTTTCTCCCTCCTCCTTATGACATCCTATCTGAAAACTGCTAACATGTCCCCTCTCAGTCTTCTCTTTTCCAAACTAAACAAACCCAATTCCTTCAGCCTTCCTTCATAGGTCATGTTCTCAAGACCTTTAATCATTCTTGTTGCTCTTCTCTGGACCCT